ATCAAGTTACAATTATTCAACCAGAACAAGGATTTACTGTGTGGTTTAAAATCAGGGAAGGTGTGCATCCTTTCAGGTACTCATTCAGTCTGTATGCTGAGCAAATAAGCTTGACTGTATTGCGAAGGATGCAGTGTTAGTGTAATAACCTGTGATATGTACATGACACAATCTTGCTTGCTGAAAGTGAAGAGGGCTAGCAGGGTTTACTGATGAAACTCAAAGACTATATAGCCTTTAGTATGAATTATACCCCAATGTAAAGAAAACACAAATCTTCACAACTGGACCAATACTCAATATAATGATAAGTGGAAAAAAGATAGAAGTTGCTCAAAACTTAATTTTACATGATTCCACAATCATGGAAGCAGCAGTCAAGAAATCCATCAAGACCGCTTCAAAATGTTAAAGAGCAAAGATGTCACTTTGAGGAGTCCGGAGTGCCTGACCCAAGCCATGGTATTTTCAATTGCATCGTATGAATGTGGGAACTAATAATGAATAAGGAAGACTTATGAAGAAGTGTTTGAATTATGATGCCGATGAAAAATATTAAATATAGCATGGCCTGGGAGAAGAAGAAGTTAATATGCTTTACCATGAGGATGGCCAGACTTTGTCTCACATACTTTGGATATGTTATCAGAAGAGACCAACCCTAAAAAATTGGTATGGTAGAGGGTCAATTGGTGTCGTAGAGGGTCGTTGTCTTAGTTATCTAGTGCTGCTTTGACAGGAATACCACAAGCGGATCACTATAACACACAAATTTATTCTATTACAGTATAGGAGCTGTAAGTGCAAACTCAGACTGCTGGCCGGTGCTGGGGGAAGGTCCATGTCTCCTTGCATCATCTGCAGGCCCAGCACTCCTTGTATCTTGGCACCAACCTTTTCCTGGATCTAGGAGCTTTATAGTCCGAGGACCCCAGGCCCAAAGGACGCACTCCGCTCCTGCCGCTTCTTTCTTGGTGGGAGTAGGTCCCCCTTCTCGCTCACTTTATCTCCTTTGATCTTTATAAGATAGAAGATGTTGCAGTCACACTCCTTTCACTGGACTGGCTGCTCACAGCAGATGTCATTGTTGAGGTGATTACAGTATATTAGATCTCATCAAGGGGGTTACTGTGTCCTAACTGCCAAACCACTGAGAATCTCGGCCCTATCAACACCTTAACTCACACATTCAGTGAAAAAGAGGAAGACCTCCAAGGAGATGGATTCACATAATGTTTACAACCATGAGCCACATAGCAACTGTGGGCTTGGTGCAAGACTGGATCACTGTGAGTCAGAACAGACTCTACAATAACAATAAGCCCTCACTTGACCCCTTCACTGCTGAAACTCTACTGCTACCCCAGCTGTCTTTATTAATATTTCAGATTCTCACATCTGTTTACTAAAGAATAGCCATGGTCCCAGGATTTTGTTCGTTTACTGTTGCTGTTAGGTGCCACCGAGTCGATACCTATTCAAAAGGATTTCAGTGACTAAATATTCGGAAGTAGTTCGTCACTCCTTCTTCCTAGTTAGTTTCTCATAGTTTTCTGGAAGGTTAAAATTCCTTAGTTTAACACATAAGCTGTCCATGATCTGTTATGTACCTACTTCTCGAATTTCTATCATTCTTTTCTTTTCTTCAGCCATTCTGAATTAGTTGTGCTTCTTTAGAGCAGATTATCCAAATGTTTTCCTGCTCTTACTTTTCTATGTGCTTCCTGCTTTATGTAGCTATAGCCTAAGTGACAGTTTTCCTTTTTCTTAAAGGTCAACTCTCTACAGAGGGTTGTCTCTTATCTTCTGCCAAGCAGTCTACCTAACTATTGGCTCCTTTTAACTGCTTCCATTGAGGCATCACTTATGTTACCAGTGGTCTTTCCTTGAGGCTCTTGCACATAGTCCTCTTGATAGACTAATGCTGCTACAGCTTGGCTATCAGTGGAGATGTGATTGGGGGCAAGCCACAATTCTTTATGGCCTCATTCCTTCATTTCTCACAGTAACATTACAGGTATAGGCTGAATCAGACTTCAGGGAAGAGTTAGAGTAAACAGAGGGAATTAAAGTATTGGATGGAAACATTAAAAAAACATGTCTAAAATATAATTTTTTGCCTGCCCAAGGGAAAGCCGGTGAGAAGTTGAATCCTTCAGCGATCAGCTTCCTGTGTACTCTTCTGTCCTTCGGTTCTGAGTGTCTCCACCTATGAGCTGTCCACTTTTGGAAAACCTGATTTCTATCCTCATGGCTGCTTTTAGCACAGATCTCATTTCCTCCACATTACATTTCTACAAGTTTGGATTCTGTTGACTACTTCCTACCATGATTGTCTGTGGTAGCCTTTGGTACCCACATCTTGCAGAGTAGTCAAGAGTTTGTATGATTTGCTGCCTGTTTGGTCTCCTTTGTGATCTTCCTGCCAATGTGAATTTTCTAAATTCCTTTTGATTCTGCTAGTTGTCCAGTGAGAGTATCTCTTGAATTAGATACATACACCCATACCTCTCCCAATGGCAAATACTAAATTTTAGACGAAGTACAGCTTAAACCAACAAGAAGAAATGTTTCCCTAAATGCCTCACAGAAGATTCGGTCATAATGAAGACACTGCTTCACATAAACATACAGACACAGAGTATGATGTGTCTGTTTCCCATAGATCCTGCTTTTAAATCCAATACTCTTGACTTGCATTTAAAATGCAACAAGTCCATGGACAGTCATGGCAACTCACTTGCTAAATAAAGATCTATCTGAAGCTGTTAAAGTGCTGTTGCTTGTAAGGCCTAGATTCATTATGATAGGATATCTATTGGCTATCCTCTTAATCAATGAAGTCAGTTTATTTATTTATTTTTTAATTCTTCCTATTACTTACTTTAATCCCACTTGTCTTTTAATTGCCACATGATTCCCAAAGCCTGTCAATGAAATGTAATTTAAATGCCCTTCATGCTTCTCTGGAACGTGACGGTTTCACTATCATAGTGTTCTACCATAGCAGTGGACGTACTCGGCTGCTTCTAGCACCTGGCATTTAGTGAATAATCAATAAATGTTTATTGTATGATAACTCAATCAGTAATAAAAGAAACTGGGATCTGTCCTGTCTAAACTTAAAACATTTATTGTGGTAAAATGTATGAAACAAAATATTTACCATTTTAACCATTTCAAGTGTCCACTCCAGTGACATCAATTGTATTCACCATGGCGTACAATTATCATTGCTTTCTAATTCCAAAAAATTTTCATCACCCCAAATAGAAAATCAATACTCTTTGAGCAATTAACTCCATATACCTCACTACCCCCAGCCTCTGGTAACTACTTTCTAATTAGCCATTTTCATAGCTTCTTTGGAGAATTGTCTACTCAAGTCCTTTGGCCATATTCCCCCACTGTGACCCACTTTGGCTCTATTTTACTAGAGTGGTTTATTTTTGTCCTTGTTCTTGAGTTGTAGGAATTCTTATGTACTCTGTCTATGAAAGCCTTATCAGTATATGGTTCCTCCTGTTTTCTCCCATTGTGCAGGTTGGCTTTTTACTTTCTTATTGGTGGTGGTTATGTGCCGTGGAGTCAGTTCCAACTCATAGCGACTCTGTATAGGGTTTCCAAGGAGCGGCTGGCGAGCTTGGACCACTGACCTTCCAGTTCAATCCGACTTTGCAGTACAGCGCATTAACCCATAGAGCCACACCAGGACTTCATTGGTGGTGGTGGTTATGTGCCGTGGAGTCGGTTCCGACTCACAGCGACCCTGTACAGGCTGTGAGGCTATAAATCTTTATGGGAGCAGAAAGCCTCATCTTTCTCCTGTGTAACAGCTGGTAGCTTTGAACTGCTGACCTTGAAGTTAGCAGCCCCACTCATAACCACTACGTTACTAGAGCTCCTTAATAAGAACATGGTTGTGGTATTGTTATGTGCCATGGAATCAGTTCCGACTCACAGTGACCCTGCATAGGGTTTCTGAGGCTGAAAATCTTCATGGGAGCAGAAAGCCGAATCTTTCTCCCAGGGAACAGCTGGTAGTTTCGAACTGCTGACCCTGAGATTAGCAGCCCAATTTGTAACCACTATGCTACCATAGTCGCTATGGGTCGGAACCGACTCGACGGCACTTAACAACAACAACAACATGCTACCAGAGCTCCTTAAAGGACATTAATGCCAAAAGTCAAAAGATTTGAGGAAGTCCAATATCTCTGCTTTATCTTTTGCTGCTTGTTTTCTGGTGTCATAAAGTTTAGTCTCTCTTTAGCAATTCCTTAGTTATTAGACATATAATTTCATAGACAACCATATTATTTTCTAATGATGAAAATGTTAAAAGTTCTTTCCTTGTTGTAAAAGTTCTTTTCATTTTCAATTAAGTTTTGGTTTGTGTGCACCCTGGTTAAAAAAGAAGGATCAGACAGCTGCTAAGGCCTAGCTCACTGTTTCCATTTCTTCTCACCGCTGGCGCTGTACTTGCCGGAGTGGGGTGTAAGTGAGGGGTAGGAAAGAGGGTATGCACTGAGAAGCAGTCCCAACTCATCAGATGACTGGCAGTCAGTCTAGTGCTATTTGTTGTATCATTGATTTAACTCTTTGTTTGTTTTGGCAAAAAATGAAGTCTTTTTATGCATAGGAAAGCCTCTTTGGCAGGAAATAAAAGTCAGGAATTGAAGAGAAGAAATTCTGCAAGGAAGGCATGTTTTCTTTTTCTAAATATGTGTATGTACAGGAAATCCACAGAGTTCTTTCAAATTTATGTCTTCTACTTTATGTAAGGCTTCTATGTAAAAGGATTTAAAAATCAATGCGCATATTCAGATATAAACTGTTGGACCTATACTGTTGTATGTTTTAGTTATTTTAGCTCATGGGATAGTTTGAAGAGGAAGAAATAACTGTCAGCAAAAAAAAAAAAAAATTGCATAAAGAGGAATTCATCAAATGTCTGTTTTATGGTTATATGTCGTATTATTTGACTTCTCTTCCTATAGAGATTCCAAGAAATTGCTGAAAAGAATATGGAAAAATCGAACCTTATAGAGAAGTCTCATGAACAGTTGGTTCTTGAAAATTCACACTTTAAAACCATGCTATCGCAGACTCACAGGGAGCAGGCGTCCCTGCTGGCAGCCTGTGCCCTGATGGCTGGCGCCTTATACCCCCTCTACAGCCGCTCATGTGCCTTGTCTACCCAGCGAGATTTTCTTCAGGACCAAGTCAACACCTTTGAGATGTTGAAGTTGGAAATTAGAACTATAGCGCAGGCTTTGTCCACCGTAGAGGAAAAGAAGCAAGAGGAAGCCAAGACGAAGAAAAGAGTCTTCAAAGCACTGATACGTGTATTCCGAAAAGGTGTCATTGCAGTTCTGGCAGCCAACAGACTCAAGATTCTGGGCCAGTCATGCGCCTCTCTCTTTACCTGGATGGAGAATTTCAAAGAAGGCATAGGCATGCTAGTGTGTACAGGAGAACCCAAAGACAAGCAGACGTTTCCAAGTAAGAGAACTTGTACTTTATCCAAGCTGCAAGAGAGAACTATAGTGTGATTATGCCTGACTGCTATGCAAAAGCTTTTAAAAAATCATGCAACTTATTTAGGCATGTAACATAGTCTCATAAGCATATACATTTGTATAACTATATGTTGTTGTTAAGTGCTTGTTTAGTCAATTCTGACTCAGCGACCCTGTATAGGGTTTCTGAAAGTGGCTGGTGGATTTGAACTGCAGACCTTGTGTTTAGCAGTCCAGTGCTTATCAGACAGTGCTACCCTAAGTCTTGGCATTTAATTGTAATCAGATAAAATGGAAAGAAAGTATATGTTTTTTTGGTTGTTAAGTGACTTCAAGTTGGTTCTGACTCAGCAACCCTGTATAGGGTTTCCAAGGAGGGGCTGATGAGCTTGAACGGCTGTCCTTGTGGTTCAAACCAATCTTCCAGTCCAGCTCATTAACTCTCAGCGCCACACCAGGACTCTCTCTCTCTCTCTCTCTCTCTCTCTCTATATATATATATATATAATTGTAACTTTATCTAGTTTTATTCTATTTGAATCCTCATAACAGTAGAATAAGGTGTCAGGTTTATACAATGATTTTTAAATTAAGTTAATTCAGAGATGCTACCCTATTTTAAAGGAGCTCTGGTAGCACAGTAGTTATGAGTCAGGCTACTAACCTCGTAGTCAGCAGTTCGAAACTACCAGCCATTCCGTGGGAGAAAGATGAGGCTTTCTGCTCCAATAAAGATTTATAGCCTCAGAAACCCTATGTAGGGTCGCTATGAGTTGGAACTGACTCCATGGCACACCACCACCACCCTTTTTTAAATTGTCAATATGATTTACTTCTTATGAAAAATAATCAATAAAAAATGAACTAAAAAATCTATGGAACAGTTGGATAAACATGAGCCAAATGTAAATTTTCCTGCTAATATTTTTGAATATTTGACTACTCTGAAGAAACAATGAATTCAAAATTTAACTTAAAAAAGTAGGCTGTTAATGAATATAAGTTAAAACTAATGATTATTTCTTTCTCGCTCACTCTTTTTTTGTTTTCCCTTCACAGTTAAGACATCTATATGAAATGTTGCTGTTGTTAAGTGTCGTTGAGTCAGTTCCGACTCATAAAGACCCTGTATAGGGTTTCTGAGGTGTGGCTGATGGGTTTGAACCCCCAACCTTCTTGTTAGTAATCCAGTGCTTATCCTACTGTGCCATACCAGGACTTCTCTATATGGAGCTGTTGTTGTTTAGTGCCGTGGTATCAGTTCTAACTCGTAGTGACCCTGGGTAGGATTTCCAAGGAGCATCTGGTAGGTTTGAACTGCAGATCTTGTGGTTAGCAATCTAGTAAAATCTAATGTTTTGTATAGACTTTACACTAGGTGAGAATTCTGTCTGTAAGTTCTGCTGTTTCTTAAATATCTGAATACTGCTATGATTTTTAAATATGTGCTTTATAAAATTTTGTAGCTTTTCATAATAGATTTTTCCCTTTTTGTAGAACATCAAAAGGAGCAGTTACGTTGTTTACAAGCACTCAGTTGGCTCACCAGTTCTGACCTTCTTGTTGCAATCACCAGTTCTATGGTTGAATTACAGGAGGTTATTAGTAAAACAGGTACAGTTCCTTTTATTTTTATTATTTTTTATTGTCTGAGCACTGTACTCTTAAAAACAAATGTCCAGAAATACTTTATGGTACAAATCTATAAAGAAAATACACTTTTTCTCATCTTTCCTTTTCTCAGGTACAGAGAGATTTTTAAATGCATGTTTAATGATAGAGTGAATTCATGTAAATTTTGATTGGTAATTTGCTCTTTATTTATGGGGAAATCCAATGACATTTTGTGGTGAATGCATCCAGTTTATTTCTCTCTCACTCTGATGTGGTTTTCCTTATAGAAAGCATATTGTTTATGTTTTTGTTAAGTGTTACTGACAATGTTCTTTCAAATGTTTTGGCCTACCTTTATTTCTAGTTCTGCCTTGAAATTTCAGTTTTCAGTAATTACTAAGCCAATAGATTTTTTTTCCTTCTCATTGAGTGGTATATTTTTATTTATTTAAATTTATTTTAGATAGAGATAATTTTCACAGTTGACTGTTTCTGTTAGGTGTGTATTCATCTATACGTACTTGGAGATTTCTGAAGGTTTAAGATTAATTTTTTCGGTGACTCATTATATGATCTGTCTAAAAGGTTCAGTGGAAACTGCTTTTTCTACACAGGGAAAACAGTTTACTGTGTCATTGGACTAATTATCACCATTATGAACACATTAATAGTAAAAATAGTATAATGGATTTATTAATACTTTCCTCCTTAATGAAACATAATGAAATGATCACTTAATTCTCTGCTGTGCAAATACAAATATTTTACTATGGTTTCAAATAATATAATAATATCTAGATCTAGGCTCTTGTAGTAGGAAACTGGTGATTCAAACATTTCTTTTCAGATTATGTTGCCTAGCCACTGATGTATATTTAATGTATTGGTAAAACCTCAATAAACTGAGTTTGGAGTCTGAAAGAGAAGTCTAAATTCAATGTATTTTAAATATTTGGGGTTATAAGTGAAAGAAGTTACTCACAAAAAAATGCATATTACATAATTCACTTATACGTATCTATATTAGGCGAATCTATAGTGCTGCAGGATAAATACTGGAATACTTACCAAACCCTTTACAGGGTCGCTATGAGTTGGAACTGATTGAATAGTAGGTAACAACAGCATAATGACATAAATATACTAGTGGTTACCTAAGGCTTAAGGGAGTCCTGGTGTGGTGCTGTGGGTTCATGTGCTGGACTGCAAGGTTGCTTTGAACCATAAGGTTGGTGGTTCAAACTCACTTGCTACTCCTTGGAAATCCTATACAGAGTCACTGTGGGTCAGAACCGATTCGACAGCACTTAACAACAATAATGTAAGTACACTAGTGTTTACCTAAGGCTCAAGGGGATGTTGCAGGTGGTAGGAAATGACTGATAAAGAGTTTATTTTTGGGGTGATGGTTGCACAGCTGTGACTAGACCACAAACCACTGATGCATACACTTTAAATGGGTGCATGTGGAGTATGTGAATTATTCCACAGAACAGCTCTTAGAATGTGAAAGCATGTAGCTACTGAGTCTTTCCCTTTATACGAGGAAGGAAAGGGTTTTCCCCACAGTATGCCTATCAGATTCTGCTCTTGCTTTCTTGGTTTTCGCTGGGTCAGTGGCTGTCCCTAGCTAGCTGGCAAGTAAGAGGAATGGGTTTGTGGATGGTTTGGGGTAGCTACTCAACAGTGTCTGCAAAAAGGAAGAGCCATTTGTATTTAAAGCAAATATCATTTGTGCTTACACATCTACCATTATCAAAGAAAACTGATCTACTCAGAAGAGTCAAAACAATATGTCAGAAAAGAACAATAATACCAAAAATACACTAAAAAGAAGTTTTCCTCATGCATGAAAAATCACTGTTAACATTTGTATTTGCTCTTTCATCAGTTTGCTCTCTTTATCTGTCTGTCTGTCCATCCATCCAGTGACACACTAACCAATGATACCTATTAAACACGTTGCTTTATATCATCATTTAAAAATTTATTTTGAAATAACCTGAAACTTAAAGAAAAGTTGCAAGTACAGAATAACTGTTAGCTTTTTTGCTGAATCACTTGGGAAATGTAGTGGAAATTGCTCCTATATAACCACAAGATGACCCTCAGTATCAGGATGTTGTCCTTGGCCCACTGCTGAACCTTATCTGCACAACCCCCTTAGTGCCCACCAGCCGTCCAACTTTGTTAAGTCCTACATTTAGTCATGTTTCTTCAGACTCTCTTAGTGTGGAAGAGTTCCCAGTCCTTTCTCAACTGTCGTCATCTTGGCACTCTTTGGTATTGTTGTTGTTGTTGTTGTTAGGTGCCATCGAGTTGGTACCTTATGCACCTTATACATCACAGCAACCTTATGCACAACAAAACAAAACACTGCCGGGTCGTGGGCCAACCTCACAATTGTTGCCACACTTGAACCCATTGATGTTACCACTTTGCCAATTCATCTTTCCGAGGGTCTTCCTCTTTTTTTCTGACCCTCCACCTTACCAAACATGATATCTTCTCCAGCGTGATCTCTCCTGACAATATGTCCAAAGTATGAGAGAGTAAGTTTGGCCATCCTGGCCTCCAAGGA